CTTGGTACTAAGAGGGAGAAGAGCATCTTTCAACCTGTCTATATGCTTAGAGGTTTGACAGACAAAGATGTTCCAAGAAGAAGCAACCCTAGGATTATTCCTGTGGTACACAAGATAAATGAAAGGTCATTTGAAGATCAGAGCCCATATAGTCAACTAAGCTTTTCATATCTTGGTCCTCAAGATTAATAACCAAACTGCTCGTCTATAAAATAATAATAGTAATAATAATACACCAATCTTATTGAAGTTAATCCTCAAAGTCGTCTATAAAATAATAATAGTAATAATAATACACCAATCTTATTGAAGTTAATCCTCAAAGCCAAAATAATGCAAATAGATGCAGAATGGTAGCTCGTCATAAAATGTCACATGGTTATAAGAAAAGAAAAGACTGACATCTTCCGCTAATGGTAAGTGAGAAACTTTTACCCTATCATGACCAAACTTAAGGCCCTTAGCATGTCTCTATCAGAACCTCTAGAAAGCATACAATTCAATACATCAATAATGATCATGAAAAGAAAAGGGGACAAGGATATCCCCTTGTATCAAACCTGAAACCAACTCTAGACTTACCAATAACCAGAAATAACAAATGCAACTGAAAAAAGACATCCTCAAAATCCAAGCTCTCCATCTATCTTTTTATGGTCGATTATATAAAAGAAAGTGGAAAGTCTTACAAGGCTGAAGAGAGACCCATAGACTGAAGATGGACCCAGATACAAAAAGCAGAAAGTTGCAAATGACAAAGAGGATTGCATTGACCTCTTTTGCTATCTTTGGTTCGGTTTAGATGTTTCTTATTTTGGAATTTCCTATTTTCAGTTATATAAATAAGTGGGGCTAATTAAGAAAGCTGAAAGCCATGATGATTAAATAGGCTAATCAATAAAGCTAAAGATCATGGTGATTAGATCCTAGGTTTTAGGAAGAAGTCAGCTGACTTTTTATTTCTGCCTAGATTTCTACCTAAAATCATGGTGATTAAACCCTAGGTTTTAGGAAGAATTTGCTGACTCTTTGTAGTTATTTGTATCCATTCTGCTATAAACTAATTAGAGAATAGTAAAAGATGGTTTGTAATCCTATATTTATGTAGATTCGTAAAGAGCCCCAAATTCTAGTTCTAATATATCTCACTCCTTGACTAAACCCCAAGCCCGAGACCTTAGTATATCTCCTAAGCCTTATCTTAAAATCTCAATTTACTCAATCATAGGCTTTCTCGAAATCCAACGTAATTAACAAACCTCTAGTCCTAGTCCTCCAACCACTTTGATCATTTCATAGGCAACAAGATAAGCATCATGTATCCATTTACCTCCAACAAAGGCGTTATGTTGAATAGAGATCATCTCATTATGAACCTTAATCTATAAGAAAGCACCCTAACGATAATCTTGTACATACTTGTAATCAGGCTAATAGGATGAAAATAAAATACCTTAGTAGAGCAGTTTATTTCAGGAACCAAAGTGATAGAAGGTAAATTGGATACTGATGCCTATTTTCTTGTTAGAAAAAAATTCTAAAAAACTTGACCAAATCAACCTTAATGATATCCCAACAATTTTGGAAGAAGGCAGTAATAAATCCACCAACCTTGGTAAAGAGCACATTACAGAACCTCCCTATATACTATCTTCTGTCTTAACAATTCCAGTGAAGATTGCAAGAAGACTTGAGGCCATCCAGAGCAGATTCTTGTGGGGGGACTCTGAAGACAGAAGAAGGTATCATTTGGTCAGATGGGAGGAGATAAAAAAACCTTTGAAGTTGGGTGGTCTGGGATTAACGTCTCTGGTGAAATTGAATCTGGTCCTTTTTAGGGAAATGGTTCTGGAGGTATTTAAGAGAAGAGGATAGGCTTTGGAAGAAGGTGATTGATGCAAAATGGGGATGTTGGTTGCCGGATGAGAGGTTTAGGGATATAACCAGACTTCATGGGGTGGGTGTATGGAGGAAGATTATCATGGAAAGACAGCACTTTCAGATGTACATCCGCTGGAAAATTGTTAATGGAATGGGTGTTATATTTGGAGTGATGATTGGGTGGAAGGGGGCTGTCTCAGTAATCAGTTTCCTCAAATTTATGCTATCGCTTGTTCCAAACACAGCAAGGTAGGGGAAGTGTACAGTGGAGGGGCCAGCAACTGGGATTGGAACATTAAAGTTAATAGAAATCTTAATGATTGGGAAGTGGCAGAATTTGAGAAACTTATGAGCCTGGTAGTAACCATATCGCTGAACGATCTCAAGGATGAACCTATCTGGAAATTGAAGAAGAACAGGGTATTCACGGTTGGATCTTTTTATAATTTTCTGGTTAATCAAAATGGGCTGGAGGAGAGCAAATTTTCTATGAGACAGATCTAGAGAGTTAATGCCTCTCCTCGCATTGCTTTTTCTGCTTGGGAAGCTGGTAAAGAATGTATTTTGACCATTGATAAACTCCTGAGAAGGGGTCATGTCCTAGTGAATGGCTGTTATTGTGCAAAGAAGTTGATGAGACCTGTAACCATATTCTTCTTTGGTCTCCGGTGGCTTATAGCATATGGACTGGTGTATGGCTTACTTGGAATTAGTTGGGTCACGGCGGGTAGTGTAAAAAGTGAGATTGGGACTTGGGATGCGGTAAGTAAGGGGAGGAAGATTATAAATTTAATACCACTTACTATTTTTTGGGTTGTGTGGAAGGAGAGAAATCAAAGAGTTTTTGAAGGGATTGAGGGTCATATCTCAAAACTAAGGGATAAATGGATACATTGCTTACGCTCTTTGTGTTTGAGTCATGATATTAATAGGATGGAGATTTTGGGTATTTTATTGATTTTAATGATTGATTTGTAAATATTTTTGTATTTGGGCAGCACCCCCTCGGTGTCTCATTGTTTATAATACTCACTTTACTATTTTTATTTCAAAAAAAAAAATCCACGAAGGTCAGGGATGTTTGATGAAAAATTAGTTTTGTCTTCTTAAAAATTTGAGAATAAAACCGTAGCCCTTATACTTTAGATTTCTTAGATATTACATTGAAGAAGTCTTACGTGTAACATTGAAGGATTTGATCACATTACACAACCAGAAAATTGAGAAAAGTCCCAAAATATTTTATGAAATAATTAAAGTATCTTCCAAAAACTGAAATTACAAAGATATTTATAATGCTTCCTAAAATAAAGATTAGACTAAATGATACTAATACTGACAAGATTAACAAATACTCTTATTGCAAGGTGAGAGGGTCAGTGATTCGGAAGGATAGGTGTGGAGATATCACATTTACACTTTGCTAACAACACAATCCCATTCTTGCAAGATGATGATAGGTTAATAAGGAATGCAATACTCTTATTCAAGTATTTGAATAGTTTATCAGGATTGAAGATTAAGTTGGGAAGAGTAGTCTCACAGGAATAAATATGGATGATGCAACTGTGTTGAGTATAATGGAATTGATAGGATGCACTAGGAGTGATTGGCCTTGACATATTTGGGAGTCTATTTGCAAGGTAAACCAAGGAGCAAACCATTTCGGAAGGTGAGAAGAAGTTAGCTATAAGGTTAGAGAGTTGGAAATGGAGACTTTTTTCTTTGGGAGGTAGAGTTACTTTAATATATACATGCTTATCCACTTTACCACTCTATATCTTATCCTTGTTAAGTATATCTACGGGAATTGCAGAGAGATTAGAGGGATGCATGAGAAGATTTTTGTGGGTTGGAGTGGGGGTGGAAAACAGTGACCATTTAGTTAGTTGAGATGTCTTTTGTCAATCCAAGAATTTGAGAGGATTGGGAACTGGGAATCTTAAGTCTAAAAATTTATGTTTATTGGCAAAAGGACTTAGGCACTTAACTTGGGAACCAAACTCTTTGTAGTATAGAATGATTAGGAGTATCCATGGGAGTGGCAGGGATGGATGAGATGCCCCATCAAGAAGATCCATACCCCACCTCAGTCCTTGCAAAGCCATCTTCCTAGCACTTCCATTGTTTCTTCCCCTTCCCTGACTCCAAGTTAGAGATGGATCTAAAAGGGATTTTGGGAAGACACCTGGATGGGAAAACAGCCTCTAGCCACAGTTATTCCGATTGTTTAATCTTTCTTCAAGACCCAACTCCATAGTTTCTGAATTTATTTTAGACACTAAAGGTAACATTAGCTGAAATTTATCTTTTACCCGCAACCCGTGGATAGGGAATTCCTGAAATGCAAAATCTTTTGCCTTTTTTCTCAGCCTAACACCAGAATTTGGTTATTGGATCCATCAGGGGTGTAAGCTGTTGAGGTTATATAAAAGCCACTTTATCAAGACTGGAATTTCATCAAGCATACCATTCTTTCAACCTCTTGTGTTGAAGACCTTCCTATTCCAAACCTTCAACTTGCCCTAAAGGAATTGCAACCTTTTCATCAATATGGAACCACACCACTAGGTTACACAGCATCCAGCAATTTCTGATGTTCACCGAAAATCAGAATGGGCCAACCACATATTCTCAAAACGAAAAAAGTGAGACCCAACTCAAACATCCGGACTCCAAAAGGATGAGGGCAATTGAAGTCTGGGCAGGCGAGCACCTGTTGGAAAATCAGGGAAGCAATATTGGAAGCAAAAATGATCAATATGTGGAGGCAATCTAATCTCTGTTCACGAATCAAGTGTATTGGGCACTGGAGAGAGGGAGGCCACTGAGCTCAAAGTCCTGAATGAAATTAGTAAAACCCCAATATTTCCAGTAATCGTATTCCCACCCAACTTTATGAAGGAACCAGGCAGACATTGAAATTGCCATCAACACACCAGAAGGGATTACATTATTCCAAAACATATGAACGTTCCTCTCAACCAAAAGATCCAAGACCTGGCCAAGTAGGTCCATAGATATAGGCAAACCACTAGGAACTCGATCGACATAATGAGCTATCTATTGCACAATTAACGAGAAGAATCTGAGGTTAGTTGTAATTGCTGCTTATCATGGTATGACCTAATCAGCTGGTAGTCTAGGTCTGAGCAGCGAGGACCCACAAGCTTGTAGCATTTATTTTTGTCCTGTCAAACAATATACTGATTAATAGATTCCATAGAATTACTTTAACGACATACAAGGAAATTCCTTCTCATTCATTAGTGACTATTTTTTGTGTTAGACCATTATATAATTGTGCAACTATTGCATCAAATCCAACTACAGCATATAAAAGATGATTAATTTAATGATAGCATTTTGTTGGTTGCATTGACTGCTTTTTTATCTTTCTTGTTTGTCTGCAGTATATTTCCCTATTATTTATAGGGATGTTGATTGTTATATCAGTACGTGGATTCTTAACAAATCTAATGAAGGTAATCCTGGATTTGCTTAAATTTTTTGGGTTTTCTGCATGTGGTTTTATTGTTCTTTCTATACTAATTTATTAAATGAGATGGGCAAGTGTTAGTTCAGTTTAGTGAACAAGCTA